CCCCACAATCCTACAACCCAACCCCACAATCCTATAACCCAACTCCACAATCTTACAACCCAACAACCCCACAATCCTACAACCCAACAATCCGACAACCCAACAATCCTACAACTCAACAACCCCACAATCCTGCAACCCAACAACCCCCAATCCTACAACCCAAACTACCCCACAATCCATAACCCCAACCCCACAATCCTAAACCCAACCCCACAATCCTACAACCAACAACCCCACAAATCCTACAACCCAACAATCCGACAACCCCACAATCCTACAACCCAACAACCCCACAATCCTACAACCCACAACCCCACAATCCAACCCAAACAACCCCACAATCCTACAAGCAACTACCCCACAATCCTACAACCCAACCCCACAATCCTACAACTCACACCCAACAACACAATCCTACAACCCAACAACCCCACAATCCTACAACCCACCCAACAACCCCACAATCCTACAAACAACCCCACAATCCTACAACCCAACTCCTACAACCCAACAACCCCCACAATCCTACAACCAACACCCCACAATCCTACAACCCAACCCCACAATCCTATAACCCAACCCCACAATCCTACAACCCAACAACCCCACAATCCTACAACCCAACAATCCGACAACCCCACATCCTAAACCCAACAACCCCAACAATCCAACCAACAACCCCACAATCCTACAACCCAACTACCCACAATCCTACAACCCAACCCCACAATCCTACAATCCCAAACCCCACAATCCTACCCCACCACATTCCTACAACCCAACAACCCCACAATCCTACACCCAACAACCACAATCCTACACCCCACCCACAATCCTAGAACCCACAATCCTACAACCCAACAACAATCCTACCCAACCCAATCCTACAACCCAACAACCCCACAATCCTACAACCCAACAACCCCACAATCCTACAACCCAACAACCCACAAATCCTACAACCAACACCCCACAATCCTACAACCCAACAACCCCCCAATCCTACAACCCAACTACCCCACAATCTATAACCCCCAACCCCACAATCCTACAACCCAACAACCCCACAATCCTACAACCCCAACAATCCGACAACCCCACAATCCTACAACCCAACAACCCCACAATCCTACAACCCAACAACCCCACAATCCTACAACCCAACAACCCCACAATCCTACAACCAACTACCCCACAATCCTAACAACCCACAATCCTATAACCCAACCCCACAATCCTACAACCCAACAACCCCACAATCCTACAACCCAACAATCCTCCTACAACCCAACAACCCCACATCCTACAACCCAACAACCCCACAATCCTACAACCAACAACCCCACAATCCTACAACCCAACACCCACAATCCTACAACCCAACCCCACAATCCTATAACCAACCCCACAATCCTACAACCCAACAACCCCACAATCCTACAACCCAACAATCCGACAACCCCACAATCCTACAACCCAACAACCCCACAATCCTACAACCCAACAACCCCACAATCCTACCCAACCCCACAAGCCCACAATCCTACAACCCCCCACAAATCCTACAACCCCAACAACCCCACAATCCTAGAACCCAACAATCCGACAGCCCCACAGTCCTACAACCCAACAACCCCACAATCCTACAACCCAACAACCCCACAATCCTACAACTACAACCCACACCATCCTATAACCCAACCCCACAATCCTACACCAACAACCCCACAATCCTACAACCAACAATCCGACAACCCAACAATCCTACAACCCAACAACCCCATCAAAACCCCAACAACCCCACAATCCTACAACTACCACAATCCTACAACCCAACCCACAATCCTACAACCCAACAACCCCACAATCCTACAACCAGCAATCCGACAACCCCACAATCCTACAACCAACAACCCCCAATCCTACAACCCAACAATCCCCAATCCTACACAACCCAACTACCCCACAGTCCTACAACCCAACCCACAATCCTATAACCCAACCCCACAATCCTACAACCCAACAACCCACAATCCTACAACCGAACAATCCGACAACCCCACATTCCTACAACCCAACAACCCCCACAATCCTACAACCCAACACCCCACAATCCAAACCAAACCCCAACCCACAATCCTACAACCCAACACCCCCCCCAACCCAACCCCACAATCCTAACCCCAAACCAACCCCAACCTACAACCCAACAACTCCCCACAATCCTACAAACCAACAACCGACAAACCCCAACAACCTACAACCCAACAATCCTACACCCCAGAAACAACCCAACAACAGCCACAATCCTACAACCCCAACAACCCACAATCCTACAACCCAACAACCCCCAAACAATAACACAATTCCTACAACCCAAATCAACAACCTTAAACCCCCAACAATCCCCAACAACCCACAATCCTACAACCGCCACAACCCACAATCCTACAACCCAACAACCCCACAATCCTACAACCAACCCACAATCCTATAA